ACCAGCCGCTCCTTGGAAACCCTATGGGGCAGTTCTGCTCTGTCCTATAGAGTCACTATGAGTCAGAATCGACTTAATGGCAATGGGTTTTTTTTTGGTGTGTGTTTTTTAGCACTGTGTTTGTAGTAGGCACGTGGCTATTTTAAGGACACAGGTTATGTTGAAACAGCTTTATTTTTTTAATCCATAAATATCTGTTACTGACAAAAGTGGAAAAATCCTTAAGACTAAATCTTCCTAAAGTGATATCTGTTTACAGTACATATAGAATGTGCTTTGACAGGTAAGTAGAACAATGAGATTTGTACAGAAGAAGCAGTTGCGAGGGCACTGCTCCCCATGAAGCTTATGAGTAATGAAGAAACTGCAAAGGTACAGATAGAAAGGTATTTCTCATCAGTACTACCAGATAATAAACATGAAATCCATAAATTGGGCTAATGCATAAAAATGTTCATTAATCCCCCTTAGGAAATTGTGTCCCCCAACTAAAAATATCACAGTAAGAATTGCTTTTTATTAGAGATTTTCAAGAATTCTTTACTACAAAATGTCTAGTTGAGTTATAGAACTAGAGGAATATTTGCCACTACAAAGCAAATGAATGAGTCCTCCCATGGAGCGGCATTCAAGGGTTACTGTGTGCATGGACAGCGAACTTAAGTGGGGGTCTTCCTTTCCCTCAGAGGGAGGACGTTAAGGAAACATACAATGTCATTTCTCTGACGTGGAAGGTGGATGTGTCTGCCGATTTACATGATGGATTTGATGACACTGACTTCGACTCTCCATTCTTGCGTCACAAGCTTTCACTGGGAGGACGGTAGAGTGTCGTGAGGAGGGGCTAGGAAGGTGCTAGGATGAGGTGAGTGCCCACCTAGCAGCCCAGGTGGTAATGACTCCTCCTCCTCTAATTGGATCAGAGCCTCAGTGTCTGGACTTGGTGCTTAGGACACACATTCGGAGTGGGATATGGTAGCATCCATTGCCACACAGCCTTTGCCGTGAGTTCTCTTGGGCTTGGAATGCATTTCCGAGCTGCCCTCAAATGCAGGCTTCATGCCTGCATGGGCAAACCTCTGGACCTTTTTCCTCCAGCCCGTCCCTTCTCTGAAATTGGAACCGTCTCCCTCCAGCTATAAGGATCACATCAAAAATGAAAAATTCAAACTCAGAATTCCTCAGTGGTATGGATAGCCAGGATGATTGAGGTGTGTCTGTTATGAGAGGGCTTCCATGACACACAACTGAATGCCTGTTGAATGGGTAGGCCCTTCAGCCTTCAGGACCAAGATCATCACTGGCAGCCGAGACCATCAGGCCCACCGCAGACTCTGAGGAGCAGTCTGGTGGCTGTCTGCGGCTTCTGGGGATGTCGCAGTGGGGCAGCATCATGGGATATGTGCAGCTCAGTTTGGAGGGATGGGTTGAGGAGGGGTGTTAACAGGGTGAAAGCCCTAGACTATAAGAGCTGGGGGAAGCTTCAAAGCTCACCTAGTCAAAGCCCCTCGTTTTACAGATGGGGAAACTGAGGCACTGAGCGGGAATGTGACTTGGCCTAAGTGATACAACAAGACAGGCAAAGCCAGGACAGGAAGCCGTGTCTCCAGAGCCCCAACCCTGTGCTTTTTTTTTTTTCATATTGTAGGCCGCCTTCCCAAATCAAATATAGAGCCCGGGAAGACATACCTTTTGTATTGAATCTGTCATTAAAATGCTGCATTTATAAAAAATAACATTTGAACCCTGAAAAATACTCCATTAAAACACAACGCGCTTCCTTGAAAATAGTCCCGAGCGAAGTTTCCCAGGTTCAAAAAGGATGACAGGAGAATAATGCATGTGGGAGGTAACATGTCCACTCACCCCAGGGCAGGCGCTTTCTGGGGTCCAGAGGACCGATAGCCCTTTCCTGTTACCTGGGGCCCAGGCCACAGTTGCCTATGGAAGGAATCTGAGGGTGAGAGGCTGGCGCCAGACAAGGTATCTGAAGAAAATGGATTGTGTTTCTGGCAGGGACTTCTGGCAGTGACACCTCTGAAAGGGAAGCTGCTCTCCCTTCCCTCCCAAAGATCAGAGGGAGAGCCCTTGGCTACGTGCCCTGGGGTAACACTGGCAGGGGCAGGAGGTGAAGGATAAACCAAAGACATGAAGAATGTCTGTTTCTTCGATTGTTTTCATTGAGAACTCTGATTGGGAGAGCTGGAGACTGCAGCAGGACCAGGGGAAAGAAACTGGGGTGGAGGATAGCAAATGGAGGCAGAGAAGCTTGAGGGACAGAATGGAGTGAGGACAGGGCAGGGCCAGGGAGATGGGAGAAAGGAAAGAGTGAACTGGCTTAGGAGGCTGAGGTTCAGACAGGAGTTTGGGGGTGTGATAGTGGAAAGACGGGGAGAAGAGTTAGAACTTCCTAGGGGCTGACCCACTGTCCAAGATACTGGGGAGCCTGAGGGCAGAAGCCCAGTTACGGTAGTTAAGGAATTCTTGGCAAAGCTTTTGTGACTCATTAGTACATGGAGCCAGGAGTTAACTGGGGGAAGCAAGGCAGGAAAGGCAGAAGGGCTCACGCTTCCCCACCATCAGAGGCCAGGGATACCAGGAAGAACTTTCAGGGCAGCAGAAGGATGGAAGGGGAAAACAGTGCAGACCCAAGTCCATTCCCATCAGAGCGATGGGACACACACAAAGAACAAAACAAGCAGAAGGAAAACTTGGGCTTTGGGCTTCCTTTGCTGGAGGAGGGGGGACACTCCCATGTGTGGTAGAATCCATGGGTCCGGTTGGGCTAGAAGTCATGACATCCGGGTTCCAGCCCCAGAATGTCCTCTTATCTTATGTGAGCTTATCTGGTTAATGTAGCCTTGCATGTTCCATTAAACATGGATGGGACGACTGAATCAATGTGATCTCTCTCGATGTCCCAGTTAAGAAATAGTATTCTGGATTTTAAGATGAGAGACTGGATTGGAGTAAGTTTACAGACCTCTCACTCTTCTTTTCTTCCCTTCCCTTCCCTTCTCCTTCCCCTTCCTCCCTCCCTTTTTTTCTGTCTTCTAGACCCAAGGGTGAAGGAGAATAAATCATTTAAAAGAAGTAGGGGTTCAAGTAGAATTTTCTGAACTGAATGACACCAGAGGTTTTAAAACAAATAATGGTAAGGCTGAGATGAGAAGTGTTTTAGGATCAACCTATCAAACAACCCCTGAGACAGACAGACACCTTGTCAGAGACAGCGCTGGGGAAGGAGCCTTGGAAAGGAGCCGTATCCTAAGGCTGGAGAACTTTGTTGCTGAGAAGATGCTCCCACAGTGGATATTAGGAGATCATTGGTTGTGTTGTTTGTGTATAGACAGCTGGGAGAGAGGATTCTTACCCACATCCTCTCCAGTGGGCAGCATTCAAGAGGACTGGCCAGGGACTTGAAGGGAGTGCCCTAGGGTAGGGCAGGACCCAGCTGTGAGAAACCCACCTAGTTTCTGGGAGTGACCAACTGTTCTATTCAGATTGATTTCCTCCAGCCCAACCCTCTTGGCCTTGCCTTCTGGAACAAACTTCCATAAACCTGTGGGGACCATCCCTTACGAAGGTTTCTGTGTTTGTGGGGGAGGGAAGCAGAGCATTGTCCTTGTCCTCACAGCCTCAAGCGTGCAGAGACCCCTCTCCAGTGGGCAGGTGAGGGCTGTGTCTGTAACCCCAACCCTTCATCACCTCATGATGTCTGCCAGGCTTTCTTGTGCACCGTGAGAGGTGAGCTTTGGTGGGGAGGAGGCAAGAGCTTTGGAATCTTGAAATAACAGGAGAATCAGTTAGTTGATTTCTCCATGGTTCGTGGACTTGGTAAGATGAAAAATTCCCAAGGCTGCCACTGAGGAATTCTCCCTCCCTGCCTTTTTTAAAGGGCCATACACGCTGAACGCAGAACTGGAGGAATTGAAAATCCCAGTTTAAGGTCATTGCTTTTGGAATCTGGCTGCAGCCCCAGCCCAGCCTTCCTCCCAAGCTGCAGCCATGAGAATGCAGGAGTCCCAGCCTCTGGTCTTGGGGGAGCGGATGCTGCTTCGCTTCTCGCTCAGGAGGCCATTACACCCCACTCACCCCCAGGTTGGAGGCAGAGAACATGCTGGCATTGGCACCACCCCCTCCCCCCCACTTTCCACCCACATGGCCTAGGTCATGGATCTGCCTGAAGCCTGAGCGCCCCTGCAGGTGAGGGAGTGTTGCAGCCCGGAGCTGCCCCCTGAGCCTCTAGACCAATATCCTTGGGTACCAGGACTTGCTGTTGCTACTGGGTCTTTGTCACCTTGATCCAGAGGAGGCACTGGGTAGTGGAGTTGCAGAAGGATGGGGGATGGGGAAGGGGACGCAAGTGAGAATGCGCCAGTTCTAGACAAGAGAAGGGGCCCAGCAGGTGGGCGGTGACTGGAAGAGTAGTGAGCAGGTAAGGGACAGTGGCCCCAGGCCTAGCTGAGCAGCCCCTCTGCCGCAGCCCCTGCCTCCTTCCTGCCTGATGGGGAGGTGGGAGACGGGCATGAGCCCTGGGTGATGGAAATGGAGAGCCCCTGAGGTCCAGGCATCACAGTGTCCTCCCCAGCCTAGGCTCTCTGGCCATGGGCAGGCCCCTCTGGGGCGCAGAGCAGAGTAGGGGAGGAGAAGGCAGCCTGGGTGGCGGGTCATAGTTCAGACCTAGAGGCCTGGAGAAAGTGTAGACATAATGAGGTGGCTGGGAAGGACACCCCAAAGCCCCTGCAACCCATCAGTACTCTCCTCTGGGAGGGCTAGAGTCTATGCCCCCAGAAAACTCAGGGGTGACACATCCAGGGCTGGAGGAGGAGCAACGTCCCCCCAGAGGAGGGGGTGGGGGCATTGTGGGCGGGGCAGCCAGCTAGCTGGAACCGGGCAGGATCCCCGCCAATAAGGAGGCAGCTGGACCTGTGGGAGGGGGCTGGTCAGGGCCGGGCCGCAGGGGCCAGCGCAGGAAGGGATTCCCTGGGCCCGGAGCTCCAGCAGGCAGAGAAGAATCGTTATTGTGCTTATGGACACAGCAGCTCCCTGGCTCTGCAAGAGCGAGCAGGCAGTTTTGAGGCACTAGAAGATTCCTGTGATGCGGTTCTAGGTGAGTGGAAGGGACTAGCCTATCCGGTCAGCCCACTGACTGCGCCTGCTGGCACCGGACCGGGGTCCGGAGAGGGTTTCCTGGCTGACGGAACCTGCAGCGGAGTCCCCAGGACAGGAGAGGGGCCTGGAAGGGGATTGGCAAAGGGGCTGGGGGGCGAGGCAGGGGCCTAGCCCCTCCCTCACTCCCCTGTGACTCTTGTGGAAGAGGGGGAGAGATGCTCTAGATCCTAGGTCTGAGGTTGGACCGCCTGAGCTGTGCCCCTGGGGTATGGCTTTCTGGGCAAAGGCAGCCCACCCCCACTCCCAGGGCAAGGCCGAGGGGAGGGGGAAGTATGAGGCTGGAAGCCCCGCTCCAGGCCCCCCAGCTCCTGCCCTGCTTGCCCAGCGGCCCGGCCTGCCCAGTCACACGGTCACTTCAGTCTTGCTGGCTGTGTAGCAGGTGTGGTGGCCCGGGATGTAGTGCAGCTGTTCCACGGTGTTGTGTCTGCGCGAGGCGAAGGCCTGGCGCTTGGCCGCCGTCTGGCTCTGGCCCAGGGTGGCGTAGGAGTTACTGGAGGCACTGGGATGGGAGTGCATCTTGGTCATGCGGTAGCGGTCCAGCACGGGCGTAGACACAAAGACGTCTGTGTGCGAGATGGCCCGCGACAGGGCCTGCTCGGGGAAGGCCGTCCGCTCCGGGGACAGCAGCGGGTCCTGTGAGTGCAGGCGCTCGGTGGACAGCAGCTGCTCGTCCGACAGGATGCGGTCGTAGGGCATGCCGAACTCATCCGGCAGGCCCCGCTCCAGGGACAGAACCCTGTCCTGCGACATGGCTCGAATGGGCCGGCGGGGCCGTTCCCTCGGCAGCGGCTTCTGCTGTTGCGACATCTGGATGACGTTGAGGGGGAGGGTGCCGCGGGCTGCCAGGTCCGGCAGGTGCCGCCTCCGCATGTAATACTCGTCGGCCTCCTTATCTGCTGCAGGGAGAGACAGAGAAAGAAGAGGCAGCTGGTGACAGCATGGCAGGACTGTGCCAGGTGGCTTTTACAATCACCTTTCACGTGTTCAGGGATGAGAGAGTCTTACTGCTCTTGTTAGCTGTCCTCGAGTTGCCTGGATTCATGGGGACCCCATGCACAACAGATCCAACCCTTGTGATCCATAGGGTTTTCATTGGCTGGTTTTTGGACACGAATCACCAGGCCTTTTTTCCTAATCCATCTTAGTCTGGAAACTCCACTGAAACCTGTTCAGCGTCATGGCAACACGCAAGCCTCCACTGACAGACAGGTGGTGGCTGCGCATGAGGTGCGTTGGCCAGGAATCAAACCTGCTTTCCCACACAGAATGTGAATATTCTGCCAATGAACCCACTGCTTTCTAACCCTTTTTAATTTCATGGATTAGGACATAGAGACCCAGAAAAGTGAAGGCATTGCTTCTCCAAATGTGCAAAGGAATCCCTGAAAGTCTTGTTTAATGCAGATTCTGTAGCTCTGGGGTGTGGCTGAGAGGCTGCATTTCTAACAAGCTCCCAGGTGATGCTGATGAGCCTGTTCCAGGAGGTTAAAAGACTTCCTCAAGGCCCCTAGGAGTTGGTGGCAGAGTAGAAGGCCAGCCCTGGCCCCTGGACTCCCCTGGACAGGGTGGCTCCCCTGCCTCTTGCTGAAACACCCAAGTAGCAGGCAGCAGCTTCCCAAGGAGTACTGGGGTCTCTCCAAGGAAGCAGGGTCCCAGAAACAGCCTCTTGCTAGAATAAAGTAAGATGCCGCAACTAGGAGGTTTAGCTGGTAATTTAGGAACATAGTAACACCTTCTCTGGAGTCAGAGTCCACGTACAGGAAGCCAGCACATAGACACTTAGCCCCCACACAGCCACACCCTCAGCCCACAGTGCAGGCAGGCGGGGGCAGTCCTACAATGTCCCTCATTTGCATGCTCCGCCCTCCCTCTTTCCAGCCCGGGGAGTTGAAGTGCTGACTGAGGTGGGAATGTGGACCTGAGGAATCCATGGCCTCTATTCTATTGCTAGGGTGTTAAGAACAAAAACAATGGGCTTGCCTATTCTCTTCTTCCATCATACTCCTTCCTCTTTATTCTTGGGGTTCCACACCAATCTGTTCAGGTATAGGGCAAGGGAGTGAGACCCAGGAGGATGCCGTGGAGGCCCCAGAGGCAGACCCAGACCCCAGGGAAACTCCACTTACTTAGCCTTTTCAAGGATGAGTACTTGCTGGGGTTAGTCTTTACTGCTGACTCGTAGGAAGGGGGCAAGTGAGCCAAGTTCTGGAAGGAGCGGGAGAAGGAGAGGTCATAGGGCTCAGTGGCTGATGTCAGGATGTTGTTCATCCGTGGCTTCTCTGCAAGAGAAGGAGAGGTGCACTATGTCAGTAAGGATGAGTGCTGAGGCCAGCAGGAGGGAAGCTTCTAGGTTCTGGCTCTTCACTTTTCCTCATCCCTGACTCGAATCCCCATCCTGCTTTCCCAGCCTCCTGTGCTAGGTCACAGGTGATGGCTGGCCACTCAGTTTCCCTCATGCTCATTCCCAGCTGTCAACAAGCCTGGGGACTAGTGCTGTTTGAACTGCTGCTGGCCACAATGGCAGTTTACTGTTCCTTGAAGGCAATGTAACTCTGAGAGAAAGCAATGAGCTCTTTCCCCTGGTGCACCACTGGGTTGTTGGATGAAAATTTAAGCCCATTAAAGCTGAGGAGGATCTTAGGATCATTTATTGCTGTGTAAAGGCTCTGTTTCTTCCCTAATAGCTTTAGGCAAACCTCGTTCTCAGGCTCAGAAGAATCTGAGTCTGAAGTGGCTGGAGTGACTTGTCTACATATGCACGGAGAGGTGGGCATAGAACCGAGGTCCACTGAGACTCCGGTCCATGCCCTGTCCGTCATGTCATTCCACCTCTCACGTGCTCCTTCCCGCCCTGGGCCTCTGCCAGCCCTGCACGTGACAAACTGCTGTGACCCCCAAAGCCATTTTAATTCCTTTCTCCAAAGCCACTTTAACCATCTCTGAGCTGCCGGAGGAAAGAATGTGGGCAAATGCTTAGCACATCATTCCCTTTTCTTCTTTCCCCTGAGAAAGGGGCGTGTCGTTTAATGCCAAACCTGGGAAAAAGAGTGAGGGAAGGAGTAGAGGATGGGTGAAAAGGAAATGAAATGAGGCACAATGAAGGGTAAACTGGGCCAGGTTTGGGGGTTCAGATTATAAATAACACAGGAAGGAGGGAAGTGATGTAGGTCTGGGTGAGTGGCAGTGAAGATGGCATACAGGAAAGGACGGAGATCCAGGGAGGGAAGACTAGCGTGCCTCAATGCTTGAGTGACTGGAGCAGGCACAACAAGAAGTCATGGGAGATGACAGCTGGTTGCCTGGGGAAATAGTGGTACCATTCCTAGAAATGAGGTAGTTGGGAGGCGATAGTCTGGTCTCATCATCCCTTCATCATTTAGTTTGAGACACCTCAAGACCAAAGAGGTACCGCAAAGGAGCACACTCTTGACTTTGGACAAATACGCCAGAGGAGTGTAGCTCCCATGCCCGTTGGCAAAGAGAGTGGTGAACCATGGGGCAGAGAGAAGCATGCTTAGGCCTGGTCCATGGGCTGCCCCAAGCAGAGGGAACTCCTTTCTTCTCTATCCCTCCCTGCCTGCACTGCCACCCCCAACACTGGGGATGGAGCCAGGGGAACCCAGCCAATGAGCTGGTTCACATATGTGAGGAAGTGGGGGGGACGCTCTACATCCCCCAGGGATCAGAACATACTGTACAGAGAGGAGCCTCCTGGGCATGGATCAGACAGATGCCAGGAAGTGGAGCGGGCAGAAAGCTGAGAGTGCTGCTCACCAGGGCTGGGTAATCTCCACTAATCTCTTAGCTCTTGTCCCTTCACTTCTAGCCATACTGAAGAAGTAAGAACTTCCCTCTGTCTGTTGGCATTGTACACCCCCTAAGGCCGTCATTCAGCAGCTCATCCACTTCCAAATACAACATTTCTGGATGCTCTTACCTCCCACTGTTCTCCAGGACGTGTTGCTGGGCCAAGGCCAGCTCCTCCTTGCCTTCTGCCTCCACCGTGATTACCTCTGCACCTTGTTCATGCTCTACCTCCTACCTCTTCCTCTATCCAAATTCTCCCTTCACTAAAGGCTCTCCACTATGACAGTGTCACAATTTCTCCTAGTGCTCAATGACATCTGCTAACTGAGCTCTTACTGCTCTTCAAGTCAGCACCATCCAGTTTAGTGTCTAATGTCTAAGTGATCTCTTGGGTTGGTCTCGTTGACCTCCTAAGATTGTACTCCCTTTGACAGCAGAAGCTCTGCTTTCCAATTTTTCTGATGCCTTCATAGTACTTGGCCCAAAATGAGGATCCAGTGAATTCTCTTTGGTTAATTGACTAGGCACCAGCCCCCACTTCTAACAGTTGCTCTGCCAGCTTCTGAGAAAAATGTAGCATCTGTGGAAGGAATGCATAGAATAACTCTTCTCCCACAAGGCTGTGTGCTGATGAAAGGCACAGACTATGTCTCGTCTATCCCATCTCATTTCACAAATGTTTAACTGGACAACCAAGTTGGAAGAGAGAAGACAGAAAGAGAAGGAAGGAAGAATGGCTTCTCCTTTTTGTACTCAGGAAGCTGTACTTGTGTTGGCTCCTTCTGGGGAAAATCAGCTCAGTAATTATTCTTTCAGAATAGTACTAAACAAGTGGGGGCTCTCCTGGATTGCCTTCTGTAGCTCCTTTTCCTGCTGCTGCTCCATCACCATGGGCATCCTCAGGCCCACAGGCTTCCTGCCTCTGCCTTCTGCTTTTTTCTTTCAGCATTCTTGCACATTGCCTGCATGCCCATAGTTTCTTTTACTGTCTCCAAAGCATAACTTACATCTTCAGCTCTAACCTCCCTCTAGGCTTCATTTCTGCATTTCTAACTGCCCGTTGAATGATTTTTCTTGTATATCCAATGGTTGTGTCAAACTCTAGATATCCAAATACAAACTCAACATCAACAACTCCATCCCCTGCACACACTCGCTGCTTTCTTGATTCCTTAGGTTGCATTCATAATAAAAACCAGTTGTCCTCAAGTCAATTCTGACTCATGGTGATCCTATGTATATCAGAGTAGAACTATGCTCCATAGCGTTCTCAATGGCTGATTTTTCAGAAGTAGATCTCCAGACCTTTTTTCCAAGGTGTCTGTGGGTAAACTCGAACCTCCAACCTTTTGGTTAGCTGCTGAGGGTGTTAACCATTTGCACCAACCAGACACTCCAATAATAAAATCCCCCATTTGTCAAATTAAGCTGGGCTCAAGACATCTTACTCGTAATTGGTTCTCATAAGCCATATTCATTTAGTAACTCAGTGTTCCCAACCTTGCTTCACCATGTTTCATACCTGAACCTTCCTTTCTGTTTCCACTGTCAACATCACTACTGCCATCATTGTCTTTCAACTGGTCTCTCCATTTTCTCCTACCTCTGACTTTACCTAGACCTCACAGACTGGAAAATCTTATTAAGCTCTTGCTTTCAGCACATATTTCCATCGGTAGCATGCATTGGAATGGCACATCAAAATATACCACTCTCATCCTACTAACTATAATGCCTCTCAATCTCAATGTTGAGGCATTTGTTGGCAGAGCATAAACTGCCGTGAGTGTGGTAGGTTTCCCTACCCAGGTGGGGTGGAGCATTTACTTATGTTTTTGGTTTCTCTCTCACTACAATGTAATGATATTTTCACTCTTTCACAGTAAAGAGAGAAGTTTGACTGATATCTCACAATTTACATGACTGTCTCATGTTCTGTTAAGTTGTGCAGGTACCAAAAATAGTTTTTCTCTGCGGTTCCAAATGTTAAGCTATGATCTCATGGGAGGATGTCATAACCTACGAAGGAAACCTGGTTTTGTAACCCTTTGTCACTGTGCTAACACTCCACTGCTCTGTAACTTTAAGTGGGCTCCCCTTGCCAAGAGGCTAAAACCGAAATTTCACAGCTGGGTTTAGAGTTTTATCAGTTCTTGATTAGTTTGAGGAGTATAGATATGGTTTACCAATTACCACGTCACTAATAAATGATACCACGAGTAGCTTTGGACAAAGAAGAGGGTTACACTCCTTGCCATGGACATATGGAGCTTATTACTGCAAAAAGTGATCTCGGTAGCAAGTAGAAATAGGTTAAGAAAGGGTTTAGCCACATCCCTTTCATGGGAGAAGATTGCTGTGACATCAGAAACAGAAACACCAAGGAGCCAATGGTCGAAAAGTGAGAGTGGAGCACTATGGCCCCGGGGAGGGGGGCACATGGCTCCTGACATCCCCCTTGGCTTCCAAGAGTCAATGACCATGTGTTTGATGCCCTGATAGTCATCAGCGGTTAGAATGGAGCCACTTGGAATGAGGATGGAATGCAGAATGCTCTAAATCATCTCTCACCATGTGTAGGGGTCTGGGTAGCACTGCTTAAAATCAGGTGGTTACACTGATGATCACCTGAAAGTCACAGAGAAGATATTTTTAAGGACGAGTTCAGGCATTCTACTGTCTCTCCAATACAACAACACTTCTCTTTACTTGTCATGTGCTTCTCTAAGTCAAAGGAAGCACCTCTAAAAAGCCCAGCCCTTTGATGCCCTGGAAAAGTAAACAGCAGGGGACAGTGTGTTAGGCTTCAAGAACCTACACTTGCTGTTTCTGTGTCTCTGCTCCTATTGCCGTGGTGACCCACCCACAACTCAGGATTGCGATGACCAGCCATAGAGGCTTTGTGGGAGGGGAACCAGGAGAAGGATAGAAGGGTGAGGATGAGTGGGCATTTGGCTAGTGTGCAGACCTGAGGTGGGGAACTGGGCAGAGAGAGTGGATTCTCCTCCCACCATTTTTTTTTTTTTTTTTGGTTAGGGGATTGTTAGCCAGGAATTGAATGCCCTGACTTAAGATGATTACACTTTTTAGATCTATGATTTGTCCTTCGGGCTTTATACACAGATATCTGGGGCCTCCTGAGATTCAGCAGGCTGTAGTGAAATGCCCACTGTCCTGTATCAGGAGTCCTGGATGCTAGACTCTGTCCTGCCTCTAAATTACAAAGCCCAATATTTCAAAAGCATTTCCTTTAATTAATAATGCAAAAGTCCACGTAGATTGAACGAGCCACAAAACTAATATAGCTATAGTTGCCAAAGCCTGGAATTCAAGGCATTTTAAGGGCTTCTAAAATTGGGATGACTGAGGGAAGGTAAAGTTTGCTCCCGTTGGCTGTCGAGTCGGTTCCAATTCATAGCAAACCTATGGGACAGAGTAGAACCGCCCCGTAGGGTTTCCAAGGAGTGGCTGGTGGATCTGAACTGCTGACCTTTTGGTTAGCAGCCGTAGCTCTTAACTGCTGTACCACTAGGGCTCCAGAGTGTACTCCAGCATCATATTATTGTTTTAACTCAACATTGTAGTCTTGTTTTTCATTGGTGCATGCATCTAATTTTGACTAAAGCAAAGGGAAGAGGAAGATGATTAGTTTATCTATACCATGGATTACAGCTCAGTCATCCTGGCAGAGCTAGATTGATTATCTGCCTCCATTTCCTCAATCATCTTGTTAAAACTATCTTTCCTATTAGCCTTAGCACTATACTCTCTGGCTACTCACTCTCTATCTCCTTCACTATATCCCTTTTACTCTTCTATTCTTTAAATACTGGAGCCCCATAAGGCACAGGTATCTTCATGAAGGGTTCAGCTCTACTCCTAGGCTTTCATCGTCTTGCCTAATTTGATAATTTCCAAGTCTACACCTCTAGCCTGAGGTTCATCTGATCTGTAGAATTAGATTTTCAGCTACCTATGGACATACCTTTGAAATCCCTGTCCTTACGCCAAACTACTGTGTCCCAAAGTGAGCTGATTATTTTATTCTCTAATGTTTGAACTTCTGCCAAATAGTCCATATATTTGGCCATGAAACTTCAGTCATCTTCACTATTTCCCTCCCTTCACTCTCCACATTCAGCGAGTCCCAAAGTCTTATTGATTCTTTGAAACATCTCTCAAATGCTTCTTTTCCTCCCTGATCCTATACCCATCTTCTAAATCCAGGCCCACAATATTTGCCCAGATACCTTTAGTAATAGCCACTTAGCTCTACTGCCTGTGGCCATTTTCCAGATAATTCATCCCATGTACTCCCACTGGACAAATTTTCCCAAACCAGTGGCATCATTTCACCATTTCCTTAGTTAAAACCAGACCCTTTAAACAGTCAAACACACTATCCAGTAGGGTAAGTGTTTGGGCCGTAAGATAGAATGTCTCACATGAAGATACTGCCTCGTCCCGAGAGAGATCATTAAGTTATATCCAGGGAAGAAACTATTTGCCAAAGGTTGAATCAGTTCTGCACTGGCCTGGATTGCTAGGAGTGAAATTCAGAAAAGGAGATCAAAGGTAAACTTTTTCCTGTTTGTCCTTCAGAGGCAAGGTGAAAAGCAGATAGATTAATTGCATGTTTGTTTTTAAGCAGTATGGCCGCATTACAGAAATGGAAGAACCCAGGTTGAATGGTGAGAGTGAGAGTTAGAGAGAAACATCTCTAATCTTCCATCGCATAGTCTGTGTGTCACCAGGAAAGGGGGGAGATTCAGATGCGGTTAACATGTTCTAGTAACCAATTGTGCGCCAGGCTCTGTGCTAAACATTCTAAAAGTGAATCCTCACAGTGATTTTCATTTGAATGAGAAGTGGAGTGGAGTAGAATGAATGTATATTATTGGCCTACCGTTCGCCAAACATTGTATAAAGCGCTAAATATCTTATTTAATTATTGTGATTTTTTAATAGATAAACTAAAGGTTTGTGATTTTTTTAAATCACAAACAGGATAAAACAAACAACCAAAAATCCCACCATTGCTGTTGAGTCGAATTCCGACTTACAGTGACCCTATAGGACAGAGTAGAACTGCCCCATAGTGTTTCCAAGGTTGTAAATATTTACAGAAGCAGACTGCCACATCTTTCTCCCGTGAAGCAGCTGGTGGGTTTGAACCATCGACCTTTCGGTTAGCAGCCAAGTGCTTTAATGACTGCACCACCAGAGCTCCTTCACAAACAGGATAGATGTCTTAAATTCAGATATTTTGTATTACAAATCCAATACTTTTCCTTTTGTTTGAATCTTGCTTAAAAATGTTTGGCTAATATTTGATTTTTCCTACATTGGCATTAAGGGAAAAATATTAAAGTTAGGATGAAAATTAAAACTGCCCTAAAATAACCACTGTGACATTTTGTTGTATTTCCTTTCATTCCTCCCCAATAAATGACACACACACACACACACACACACACACAAACATACACTTACTTAAACAATATTGCAATCAATAACTTTTTATATTTGTTATTTTGCAAAGCGAGAATCAGATTATAGTTCCTAAAATGGGGGAAAACATGGCAATTTGATCCACACACTTGTGCAGAATGACAAATGTATGAGGTTATTCATTGCAGCATTTAAGAAAATTATTGTGGTAATATTTATATAACAAAAGGTTTGCCATTTTAATAATTTTTAAGTGTACAATTCAATGGCATTAATTATATTCACTGTATGGTGCAACCATCACCACTATTTCAAAAGTTTTTCATCTCTCCAAACAGAAACTCAGTATCCCTTAAGGAATAACTCTCCATTCTCCTCTCCTCCTTCCCCGATAACCACTAGTAACTCTTTTTCTCTATGCAGTTGCCTATTCTAGATATTTCATCTAAGTGGAATCATACAATATTTGTCCGTTTGTGTCTGACTTATTTCATCAGCATAATGCTTCCAAGGTTTATGCATGTCACATGTATCAGAACTTCATTTCTCATTAATGGCTGAATAATATTCCACTATATGCATATACCACATTTTGCTTATCCAGTCATCTCTTGATGAATATAGGTTGTTTCCACCTTTTGGCTATCGTGAATAATGCTGCAATGTACACTGGTGTACGAGTAACTATTTGAGTCCCTGCTTTCCAGTCTTTTGGGTAGATACCTAGGAGCATTGCAGCATTTTTATAGTAACAAAAGAAAGGAAACAACCTAAATACCCATACGTATATGTACAAATACACACATATATAAACATGTATAGTTACCCCATGCAAGCCTGCCAGATAAACTTTTAAATCTTTTTTAATACTTAATGAACAACATATCTTGAATATTTTTTTGTGTTGTGAAATATTCTTTGAAGTGTCTTATATGGCTTCACAATCGTCCTTTCTATATGAAATGTAGGCACGATGTATTTATTTAAACATAATATATTCCCATTCTGTTCGGTATTTAGATTGTTTAAAAGTGTGCTGTTGTCACAGTCAACAACCTTGACCACAAATCTTTAGCCATGTCTCATTTCCCCAGGCTAATAGCTAAAAGGGTGGTGCAAACAGTTAATGTACTCAGCTGCTAACCGAAAGGCTGGAGGTTCAAGTCCACCCAGAGGCGCCTCAGAAGAAAGGCCTGGCGATCTACTTTCAGACACTTAGCCATTGAAAACCCTATTGAACACAGTTCTACTCTGATACACCATGAATCAGTGGACCCCACGGCAACTGGTTTTAATAACTACAGGGAGCAGTCCTAGGTCACCAGGTGTATACGCTACCAATCGTCTACCGATGTGACTGTGGATGGATAGATTTCTTCAGAGCGAAACATTCATGCATGCCTGGGAAATACTCCATTTGATATGGCGTCTTGTTGTTTCATTACAATAATGGATTCTATTTGCTGTATATTTATATAGAGATATATTTATAAATAAAATGTATAGTTTTCTTTTTTGTGCTAATGCTGTGAGGATTTTGTATCAGGTTAAGGATTTTGTAAAGTCAAATGAGAAGCGTTCTATCTTTTGGTTGCCCGAAAACTACCAACGTAGTGTGTGAAGTTTCTATTCTTTGTAAACTTGAAGGAATGCAAAAGTGAAAACACTTGATGTCTTTTTGGGAGTCAACTTTATGCTAGGAACGTGACTTATTTCACTGACTGCATAACAATAACTCCAAGAGGTAGATAATATTATCACCAATTTAGAGATGAGAAAACTGAGGTTTGGGGAGATTAAATAATTTGCCAAGCTTACATTACTAGCCGTGTGCTGGGATGCAAACCCAGTCAGGCTGGTACTAGAGCCCACATCCTTAACCATCATTCTATACTGCCTTCTCATACTTTCACAGTATTTTCTTTGCATATTGATTCATTTGAGTTTTCAAATTCTAAATTCAATTTGTAATTTCTATTCTCCTTAAAAAAAAAATCTATTGGAAATTTTCAACATTACTAGCATAAACATTGTACCACTAAAAAACCACCTCATTCTTAATTTTGTGTTTATATTTTCTGGTTTTATTCATATTATTATTCTTTTTCAAAGAACTAGCCCATATGCATAACAGTTCTATCATTTTTTAGTTTTAAAATTCATTTATTTATGCTTCT